CAAAAAAAAAAAAAAAAAAAAGAGTTCTTGGGCTCTCTGAATGATAAACTAAGAGAGGCTCCAGCTTCATATTGCCAGAAACATTGCCAGCAAACAAGAGAGTTAACCTATTCTTTGCTGCTTTAAAGTCTGACATCAACTTTTCCTCCTTACTGGTGTAACTTGGGTCTGGCATCTTCTTCCAGTACAGTCACATCTCATCCACATTAAAAATCTGCTCGGGTAAATATGTGCCTTCATAAATAATTTCTCAAAACATTTCAGGAAATTCCTAGACAGCTACTGCATCTGTACTCGTTGCCTCACCAGTTACTTTTATGTCGTGAAGGTTGGCTCTGGCCTTGAACCAATGAAATAAGCAATTGCTAGTATTAAAAGATGCGCCCTCTGACTCTTTACCTTGTTTCTCCTTCAAGTTTTCATAAAGGCTTTTAGTTTTTTCTTGAATCAGCATTAAGCTGAGTGGGACTCAACGCTGCTGCTGATCCTGCATCACACAATGAGAAGTTTCTCCATCTCCTCCATCACTTTTCCATATTTCTATATTATTGTCTACATGATTGGCACAGCAGACTTCACATGTTCCACAATCTTGTCCTTGTTCTTTAGAATCGTGCCAATGGTTGAATGATTCATGTTATAAAAATGAATGACGTCTGCCATCTTTTTGCCTCACTCCACTCTCTCAATTATTTTCACTTTTGTTTCCATCATTATTGCTTGGTACTTCTTAGCAGTACCAAGTACATCACCACTGCTTTTATGCTTGCTTCTGGACACCTGGGCTTGAAATAAAGATACCGTACAACTATACTTTATATAGTACTGTACAGTAAAGTACACAAAAACACAACCAATTGTAGAAGATGCATGCACATGACAATGTATGCCAGACACATGAACTAACATGTGATTGGACATGTGAATATGTGCTCGCATCTTTGAAAGTTCACAACTTGAAGGTTCTTATGTAGGGGACTTCCTGTAAAACAAAATGCATAGTTTAACACAGATGTCAATGCCCTACATAAACTGGTTCCTGCCTACCATGCCCACTTCATCTCATGCTACTGTCCAGCTCTCTCTCCAGTCTTTCATCACACTAAAACTTTCAGTTACTTAAGCATGCTGTAAACCTTCATAGAAGATGTTTCCTTCTAAAGCATTCTTCCACCAACCTTCTGCATGGCTGACTCTTTCTCATTCTTCAGATCTCAGCTTAAATGTTGCCTTTTTAGAAGAACTTCCAGTTCATCCAAGCTAAACAACAAAATTAAAGTACACAAGTGTGCACTGGTGCACAGAGGCTGGACTTGTAGTGTGCCTGGAGTGAGGGTTTCCAAACTTGGCTGCAAGGATTATTAAAATGAATCTTCAGAAGCAAACCCTTAGTGACTTTTTTTTTTTTTTGAGTCAGAGTCTCACAAAGTCTGGAGTGTAGTGGCACATTCACCACCACTCCAGCATCAACCTGCTGGGTTCAGGCAATCCTTCCAACTCAGCCTTCCAAGTAGCTGGAACTACAGGCACATGCTACCATGCCCAGCTAATTCCTAGTGACTTCTTAATTCAAATCATCAGACAGGCAGTTGTGGTAAAATTAAATTCTGGAGTGGAGTATCAAGGGGTCTCGGTTTGCCTGGATGGGTACATGAATATTGTCCTGGAGCACACAGAAAAATATGTGAATGGCCAACAGAAGAATAAGGAAGGAGATGCATTTATCCAAGGAAACAATGTGTTATACATCAGCACACAGAAGAGAAGGATGTGAAAACACCAAGAGAGCAATACTTTTCCCAGTTGAATATATATATATATATTTTTTTTTTTTTTTTTTTTTTTTGAGTTGGAGTATCACTCTATCGCCAGACTGGAGTGCAGGGGCCGCTCCCGGCCACCGCAGCCTCGACCTGCTGGGCTCCGGCGATACTTCCGCCTCAGCCTTCCGAGTAGCCGGAATTACAGGTGCCCGCTACCACGCCCAACTGTTTTTTTGATTTATTGTAGAGGTGAGGTCTCGCTGCCCAGGCGGGTCTCGAACCCGCGGGCTCAGGCAATCCACTCACCTCAGCCTCCCAAAGGCACGGGATTACAGGCTGAGCCACCGAGCCCGGCTTGAATATATTTTTAATGAATTTTTTTCTATCCTTTGAGGGATTTTTTTGTGACATAAGTTGTCCTGTTTTTGTATACTAGTTGATTTTTCAGTGACATGAGTAAGATACATATATAAAATTGTGGATTTAATTGTGACATAATCTTTCACATTTAAGTTTCAGTTGTTTTCTTTTACCTCTGTGTCAGCGTACAAAATGCTAAAATAATAAAAGACAAAATCTATCTCTTCCCACCAAAAAAAGTGCATATGTAACTCCAGTTGTCTTCTCTTTTTGTCTGTCTGTTCATGGAATTTATCAATATTTGTAATTATATATCTATTTGGTCATTTAAGTGTCTACTATCCTCCCCACTAAACTAAAAGTTTCATGAGGGCAGAAAATGCATCCATTTTATTGTAGTAATATAAGTAATACTTAGTATAGAACCTGACACATAGTAAGAAATCAATAGATATCTCTCCAATATATTAATGATAAATGGGAAATTTGTGACCAAAACATAGTTCATTTAAATAGGAAAAAGCAGACAAAATTAGCTAGCCTAAAGTAAGGACTGATTTCATTCATAATTATAAGCTTAAGTGCAATTATATAATGTTTTTGAAAGAAGCAAGTACAATTTTAGATGGCATCAACATATATATTTCTTAGTACCTTTGGTTTACAAAAATATATATAATTTAAAGTTTTTAAAAATGTTTTTGTAGCCAGGCTCAGTGGCTCAGCCTATAATCCCAGCACTTTGGGAGGCCATAGGCGAGTGGATTTCCCAAGCCCACGGGTTTGAGACCCACTCGGGCAACTTGGCAAGACCGCGTCTCTACAATAAATCAAAAAATTAGTCGGGCATGGTAGTGCACGCCTATAGTTCCAGCTATTTGGAAGGCTGAGGTAGAAGGATCACCAGAGCCCAGCAGTCGACACTGGGGTGGGCATGAGTGTGCCACTGCACTCCAGCCTGGGTGATGGAGTGAGACTCCAACTCAAAAAAAAAAAAATATTTTTGTTACCAAACACCAGGGTTCTATTGCTCACCACACAGAAAACCAATCACAGAGATGATGAGTATTTCCAGGAAAGAAGACTTGAAGACTTTTAATTTGGGTGATATTAGCTGAGAAAAATGGAAGGTTCATTCTCAAATCCATCTCCCCACTGAAGTCAGGAGTATATGCAGTGGGGCAGACATGCAGAAAACAGGAGGTTGGGAGGGGTAAGGAAGATGAGCTGGCAAACAGGTGGCATCTCATTGTCTGGATGTGGTAATCTGGGATACTATATACCCAAGGGTTGGTTTGATGAGAAGGGAACTCAGATAAGACAAATGTAAATTTCAAGCTTTAAGGCCAGGAGGATCAATTGCTATGTCTATTCAAAAATAAGCTGGGCTCGGTGGCTCAGCCTGTAATCCTGCGCCTTTGGGAGGCTGAGGTGAGTGGATTGCCTGAGCCCGAGGGTTCGAGACCCGCCTGGGCAGTGAGACCTCATCTCTACAATAAATCAAAAAATCAGTTGGGCGTGGTAGCGCGCGCCTGTAATTCCGGCTACTCGGAAGGCTGAGGCGGAAGGATAGCCGGAGCCCAGCAGGTCAAGGCTGGGATGGCCGGGAGCGGCCACTGCACTCCAGTCTGGGCAACCGAGTGAGACTCCAACTCAAAAAATAAAAATAAAAAAATAAAAATAAACTGTGACCATAGTTCTGTGGAGAAATTGGGTCGGTTTCATTTTCTCTTCAATTTAGTGCTTATTGGTTGAGAATAATTTTCTTTTCCTATACAGATGCCCAAATACAGATATAATTTCATATATTATAGCAAAACCAAGAATGTACAGTTGGAATCCATTTGTCTTTTTTGCTTTTAAAATGAAGCCTTCCTAAAGATGACTATGATGCTACATTAAGAGATATGCTAATTGAGGTAAATACCTCAAGAAAATAGAATTTTGAAATTATGTTTTAAATGCTCCTTAGATCACAGAGCAGTAATGGGAAATATCTCTGTTTTACTTGACACCTACAAAAGAAAAATCCAAAGGTAGCGCTAACTTTCTATATATTTAAGACCATCTGCCAAAATAAGCAAGTCAATCATTGCTGCATACACATTCACTAAAGAAGTGTCCTCTCTTAAAAAATAATCCAAGAACTCCAGTAACAGCTGCCACAACACAAATCCTTTTATCATTGTGCTAACACAAGTCCAAAATGCCATATGCCTAAACTTGTGGGGAAATATAATGAGCTTTATTTTACTATTCTATGGGCTCTAGAGTTTGCTACATTTACTTTTTTAAAAAAAAGTCACGTACGAGTACCATACCTTTTTTTAGTTATAGTTTTTGAACCAGGTTTTATTATTTGTTAGGGCAAATCCTCCTCATTGGTCTTCTTTTTCAGAAAAGGTTTGCTATTCTTGATTATATATTCTTTTTTTTTCCTCTTTTAATTTTTATTTTAAACTTGTGGGGTACAATTCAGGGTGAGGTATACAAATGTCATTGTGCAGGTACCCTTGTTGATGAGGTATGCCCCCGCTACCCCAGGCAGATATCGACTACTGTCAAGCCCACTTCCCCCTGTGCCCCACCCGCAGTTTCCCGCTGCTGTCAATCCTTTTCTTATAGTATTATGATAGTTGTTCAAGATCCACTTATGAGTGAGAACATGTGATATTCAGTTCTTTGTTTCTGTGAGAGATCACTCAGTATTATAAACTCTAATTCCATCCAGGTTGCTGCGAAGTTCATGGTTGTGTTCTTCTTTATGGCTGCATAATATTCCATTGTGTATAGGTACCACATTTTTAAAATCCAGTCCTCTTTTGAAGGGCAGCACGGTTGGTTCCATGTTCTTGCTATTGTGAATAATTCTGCGATAAACATACGTGCAGGTATCTTTTTTATAGAGTGATTTGAGTTCTTCCGGGTATATTTGTGGTTATATATTCTTTAAGACAGTTTAAAATCATTTCATTAAGGTATGAAAATAATCTCTGGGATTTTTCTTGTAAATTCTATTAAAGCAATATCATAGAAATTAACAACTTACAAATTTTGTCTTTTCATTTATGTTTCAAGAGTTCTTTGTAAAGTTTTGGAACATAAATTCCTACTTTTTACTGTTTTAAATTGGCTCTGAGTAAACTTTATAATTGTACCAGACACGGAAGCCTAATTTAGTATCATCCTCTTAGTGGCAGCTACTGGAATTGTTGGCTAACGTATTAAAGTAGTGATTCTCAAATTTCAGCATACATCAGTGTTGTACCACATTATTGTCTTTCCACTCAGTCCTGGTGGGATGATTTATAAGTTTCTTGAGAGCAGGACTTTGAAGCTGAGAGAAGAGACTTTTTCTTTTCTGAAGATCACTCATCTCCCAATTACTCACAACAAATTGTCTATTAACAAATTCAGTAAGCCAGGTGTGGTGACTCATGCCTGTAATTCCAGCACACTTGGAGGCACAGGCAAGAGGATTGCGTAAGCCCAGAGATTCAAGACTGGCCTGGGCAAATTGGCAAGACTTTGTCTTTACGATAAATTGTTTAAAATAATAATAAATTAACCAGGCATGATGGCACACACCTGCAGTTGTAGCTACTTAGAAGGCTAAGGTAGAAGGATTGCCAGAGTCCAGCAGGTGAAGGCTGTGGTGAACCATGATGATCGTACCACTGCACTGCAGCCTGGGGAACAGAGTGAGAAAAAGAAAGGAAGGAAGGAAGGAAGGAAGGAAGGAAGGAAGGAAGGAAGGAAGGAAGGAAGGAAGGAAGGAAGGAAACCAATTTATTATCTATACAACATAGTTGTCCTCATAAGTAGAACAGGAGAAAAACACAAGTCTTTGTTTCTAGTAGAGCTCAGACCAGGTTTTCTTAAACTGTACTCCAAAAATCACCTAGAGGACTTATTGAAATACAGACTATGCCCCCCCCCCACCACCATGAATTTCTGATTCTCAGGCTGCAGCCTGAGGATTTGCATTTCTAACAAGTTCCCAAGTGATGCAGCTCCACCTCTTCCCAAGACCACATTTTGAAACCACAGGAAATAATCAACTTCTGCATCCATTTCCCAATGTATTTTACCTAAGATAAACAAACATCACAGAACAGAATCCACCAAAAATAAAAAAAGTAGACCCAAACTAGAACTTTCACATATAATGCTTTCTAGTCTCTAGCTGTTAAAACTTAACTGCAGTAAGAAAGTTTGAAGCCCTTATCACTAGATTGAAAATGCAACTTTTCTTTTTCCTAGGTCTTCTTACTTTCAACTTAGCTAGGTTCCCCAATTAAGGTGGAATAGAGGGCATCTGAGAGCCATCACCTTTTTTGAAATCTGTTGTAATCCCAGAGTGAAAGCTGAACCCCAGAAAATGGTTCACAGCATATTTTCCATTCATACTAAATAGAAGGTCCTAGTAGAAGTGAAGTCGTTGAAAGGAAACTCTTCTTCATTCTCAGCACCAAACCAGACTCTTCTACCCAACTGATTTCTGTTGTCCAACTTTCATCTCAAGAAGTATAACAAAGGAGTAAAGAGTACTGGGCTCAGTTGGGCATGGTGGGCCATGCCTGTAGCCCCAGCTACTCAGGAGGCTAAGGAGGAAGATGGTTTGAGCCCAAGAGTTGAAGCTGTTCTACAG